GTATGTGAGGACACGACGGGAAGAGGAGACGAGGGGACGGGGGGACGAGGGGACGAGGAGACGAGGGGACGAGGAGACGAGAGGACGAGGGGACGAGGAGACGAGGGGACGAGGGGTGAATGCTAATGAAGGAGCGTCTGATTGTAAAGAGCAGCGGTGGTGATATCAGACACAGGAAGTGGAGGGAACGCTGCTGGAAATATCACTGGTTGGTTAAAAAACACATCACTTTGACTTAGAGACACTGTGGGGGGGCGGGGGGTCAGAGGTCAAAGGGAGAGTTCAGGTGTTTGAACTTTCACACCATCACATTTTCAAAGACCTGGAAACGGTACAGTAATTCAGCGGACACTTGTTGTTCCACTGCTGACCACAGGAGGCAGCAGTGGACGGTTCTCCTGGATACAATTAGAACCTAAATGTTAACGATGTCCGTCTGTAGCTAAAGGTTAGCTGTGGAACAACAACGGCAGGAAAGAAACAAAAATAAAACCACGTGGAGTGAACACGCGGTCAGCGCCACCCAGTGGCCTGGAGGGGACAGAACTGTCTCGGTGCTGAATGTTGACGACAAACTTCATGACCAGATCGGACCAATCCGACGAAGACGGACTCACAACCACATCAGACCAACACTTTAGGACCAGCTTTTTATTAGAGCGATCTGTAGATTAAACAGTACTGGTACCACTACTGGTACTGGTACTGGTACCAGTACTGGTACCGGTGTGGCCCGTGTGTGTGTGTGTGTGTGTGTGTCGTGTTTCAGTTCAAACTGATGACATCATCACTGCCTGTAGGATTAACACAGCAGTGTCATGTGACCACGGCTCATCTCTGCTGAGAACTAATCTGGTACTGTTCTGGTACTGTTCTGGGACTGTTCTGGTACTGACAGACAACAGACTCTCAGCTCCTAGAACTGTTTCTGGGTCAGTTTGACTTTAAAACTCAGGACAGATGCAGGTCTGGAACTGTTGATCAACAGTACCACGGGGTTCTGATGAAGGGGTGTGAAGAGGAACCACTGGAACCACAGGAACCAGAGGAACCACTGGAACTACTGGAACCAGAGGAACCACTGGAACCAGAGGAACCACTGGAACCAGAGGAACCACTGGAACCAGAGGAACCACTGGAACCAGAGGAACCACTGGAACCAGAGGAACCACTGGAACCACTGGAACCAGAGGAACCACTGGAACCACTGGAACCAGAGGAACCACTGGAACCACTGGAACCAGAGGAACCACTGGAACCACTGGAACCAGAGGAACCACTGGAACCACTGGAACCAGAGGAACCACTGGAACCACTGGAACCAGAGGAACCACTGGAACCACTGGAACCAGAGGAACCACTGGAACCACTGGAACCAGAGGAACCACTGGAACCACTGGAACCAGAGGAACCACTGGAACCAGAGGAACCACTGGAACCACTGGAGCCAGAGGAACCACTGGAACCACTGGAACCAGAGGAACCACTGGAACCACTGGAACCAGAGGAACCACTGGAACCAGAGGAACCACTGGAACCACTGGAGCCAGAGGAACCACTGGAACCACTGGAACCAGAGGAACCACTGGAACCACTGGAACCAGAGGAACCACTGGAACCACTGGAACCAGAGGAACCACTGGAACCACTGGAACCAGAGGAACCACTGGAACCAGAGGAACCACTGGAACCAGAGGAACCACTGGAACCAGAGGAACCACTGGAACCACTGGAGCCAGAGGAACCACTGGAACCACTGGAACCAGAGGAACCACTGGACACACTGGGAA